AGTTCCGTCGTTTATCAAATGTGTCTGTGCCTTGCATTCTACAGTATGTTAATGCTTCTGTTTGTCTGTTCCTTTTTGCCTGCGTTGTGTCTTGTCTGTCATCATTCTGGTTAGGGAGGTCAAGATTGGACTAGGGAACAGTTCCTATTTGTGGAACTGTTTAGAGATGTCTTGCTATCTTAACATTCTTATGCTGCCTGCAAATCGAGGCTGATGCTGTCCTACTGTACAGTATGTGCTATCATCAACACAGTTTGCAAAAGATTCTATATATCCAGTAGGAGAAGAGACACACCAACACTGATGAACTCTCCTAAGGATTGAAGCCTTCTTCAAGGTGCGCCAAGACAGTCACACCAGTGGAGGACAGAACAAATATTTCAAAGATACATCGATGTCTCTTCATCAAAAGTGGAGAAAATTATCCTCAATTTCTAGGAATAGCCAATGAAACAATGAGTATTAACTGTACATCCTATTATGTCTCATTTATATGTGAATTACAGTGTATACTGGAATTTTAAGACAAATTATTGTTTTTCACAAGCGGGATACGGGAAGTGTTAGTGGGCTCTCAATGTCTCATGTGTAGCTCTCTCGTTTATGTTGTTTCTTTACGTGTTATGTCTCATTTTTTGTGTAAAAAGTATCCCTAGCACTGCATATTGCCCTAGGAGATTTAGACAGATGGAACACCTATGTTGATGCCGTGTATAGATTACAGATTGGGCTTTAACACAATTGTTCCCGCCAAGCTGATCCCAAAACTATTATTTAACTGCAACTGGATACTGGATTTCCTGATGGGCACACCTCAGGTGATGAAAATTGGCAACAATATCTCCTCTACAGTAATCCTAAACACTGGAACTCCACAAGGCTGCTGTTTCAGTCCTAGGCTGTACTCTTTGTTCACCTATGACTGTACAGCCACTTACAACAGCAACCAACAATATTAAGTTTAAGATAAGATCACTTTATTGGCCATATACAACGTCTTGCATTAGTAATTTAGCAGACCCCAGCTTGCTCTCCATGAGACACACAGACAGAGAGAGAAGCTTGTGGTCAGAGCGCAGGGTCAGCCATTTATACAGCACCCCTGACATAGCTGGGGTTAAGGGCCTTGCTCAGGGGCCCAACAGAGTAGGACTCCTCTGCTGGCCACAGGATATAAACTGGCAACCTTCTAGCCACAAGTGCAGATCCTTAGCCACAGAGCCACAACACTACCCCCGAAAGTTTGCAGAGTTTGCACCATTATTGGGCTGAACAGCAACAATGACGAGTCCACAGACTAGGGGTGAGGAGGAGCATCTTAGAAGATGGTGCCTTGACAACAACCTGGCCCTGATTATCAACAAGACAAAATAACTCTTTGTGGACTTCAGGAGACCCAGAGAGAGTCCTGCCCCACAGCAGTAGAAACTGTCAGGTGCTTCAGGTTCCTCAGACTGCAGATCTCCACTGACTTGGTTTGGTCTGAAGGAGGCACAACAGCACCTGCACTTTCTCCGGTGCTTAAAAAAAGAGGTATGGGGAAACAGCATCTCATGAACCTTTAAAGCAGCACCATAGAATGTGTTCTCACTAGTTGTCACGGACGTCCAAAGGGACTAACCGTGGGGAGCAGGAGAGCGGAAAAAGACCCATATGCGTAGCGGCGAGACGGGAAAAAGGCCCGGGCTCATTAGTGCAAAGAGTTCAGGAATGCCGTATAGAAACCTATGCCCTCAGGGAGCGGACGTGGGGCGCCCTGGTGCTAGGCGGGTCTCAGGACATCCGAACGTCAATGCTGAGCGAGGACAGAGTGCAAGACCCGGAAATATATAGCCCAAGGGAAAGAGGGACAGGAAGGACAGCAGACCGGAAACTAGGGACAGGTCAGAGAAGGAGCGCCCTCTGGCAGCAGAGGGCGTGACACTAGTGGCATCACTGTGCTGTGTGTATCACCGCAGTACTACCACTCATGACAGAGATGCACTACAAAGGGCTGTGGCAACAGCACAGAGGATTACAGGATGTGATTTACCATCAATCGGTGAGATTCATACCATCTGCTGTTGCAATAAAGCCCAATCCATCATTCAGGATCCCAACCATCCTGGTCACAGACTGTTCTCCCCATGCGCTCTGGCAAGTGGCACCACACTATTAAAGCACGGACCACTAGCCTCAAGAGCAGCTTCTACCCTACTGCAGTACGCATCCTCAACAGCTAACTGCAGTGCCTCAGAAATCAATGCATCTTTGCATTATGCACTTTTTGCAGGGTCTACCATGTTTTTCTTCTCTACCACATATTTATTGTTCTCTATAATGTATTTATTGTTTTAGTTGTTATCCTTTATTATGTTTGTAATGTACTGTCTACATTGTGTGGTGTTGTCTGTCATACTGTGTCTATGTCTGTAAAGTGTGTGTCCCGAAAGATCAACATGAATAAGAATTCCAATGTACATGTGCACTTTGCAATAAACGTCTCTACGCTACTAATGTATCCTGCCATAATCAGACTTTTATCAGTCTTTAGAAGAAGTATTAATGGACACAATACTGGGTTCAAAAGATAGGATTACATTCATGAATTAAATACTTCACTAAAGAAGAAAAAATCACCTAAAGAGATGTATTAATCTAGGCCAGGTAATATGGTAAAGGTGGGCAACAAAAATGATAGTGATTCCTGAGTGAAAATGTCTACTAGTGTTTATATAATAAGGGGTATCAGAAGGTATAAGATTTGCAAGCCTTCATGAAGTCCTTGACATGTCCAAGGGAACCTATGTTGCCTTCTGTCCAAGAGAATCTGCTCAAAAGCATACTTGATTTGAAATTTGTCAACATGACGCACATAAATATTTTTAAAAAGACTTGTACCAGTGATGGTTCCAATATGGATCTGGTATGATCACCAATACCAAACTGGAACAAAATAGCAACTATTGAAGCATAAGAGGTTACATACAGTACAGTACCTTCCCCCAATAAATATATTCACCAATCAATGGAGAAAGTAATACTAGTACAGTACATCTTTGAGAAAATGAAAACTTCCTGCTTTTGAAGTACCTGCCACACAACAGGATACCTGGTATTTCAAATAATTATTGTGACACCTTGAATCTTTACACAGTGAGAAAACCGCTATGGAAAACTGGCTGAAGACATGTATCTCCTCATACATGTGTGGTATTTGAATAAAGATGGTAAGATGAGTCGTTCACCATACAGCCCTGATCTGGCCCCTCATTTCCTCTTTAGAAATTAAAAAAAAGGCTTTGCGTTGTTGATGAGTTTCAGTTGACAAATAGTTTGAGCTGGATGTTTCCAGGTGGTTTGAAGCATAACCTTATGTTTTTTGTTCACAAGAACTGTTGTGTGTTGAACTAAGATCATGGTAGATTAGGAATTGTATTATGTCATGATATAAAACATAATGGAAAAACCTAAAATTCACTGTATGTAAAACAAAAGGGAGTGATCCTTCTAAGACCTGTGCCTTTGGGATGATCCCTGCAATTTATTGTTATGTCATTATTTATTCAAATATTCAAATTGTAATTACAAATTGCAATCCTTGTGCTATAATCATGTATAATTGTGTGTGGGGGCAGTTCAGATTGGAGGATATTCTTGGAGAAAATTCCAAGAGACAGAAAGATGTGCCGGAGGTAATCCTGCAATGGACTTGAATCCCATGTCATGTACTCTCAATTCCACTTAATGCCAAAGAAATCGAAATATCATTATTTACTGTAATCATAATATAACCAACACTCGTTGATGAGTTATGAGTATTGAAAAGGGATATTGTTACAATATTTTATATTCATTACCCAAAACAATGTGGAATTAAGATTAAAAAAACAGGTCTCTTGGGTGTACCATTATCAGGAGGTGAAGAAATTTGTTAAACCTCGGCCACTTTACCCACCAACCGCTGAAAGTAAAGCTAAAGAAATGATGTTTTATTTAATAGGATGTTAACGAATCCCGAAGCCACTGGTAAATTATTTTATTTACTAAACAGAATGTAAAGAAAAATATCGAATGTGCCTGCTACATGTATAATTATGCTATACAGACAGCAGTACAATTATTCAAATGCACTGTACATTTTTCATGAATTCAATAACAAATATTAACTTTTACCTTTTTAAAAGATGAATTGAAGCAGATATGTTATTTGCATCTTGTTTATATTGTAAAGCCTTAACTAAATTTGGCTTTGTGAAACTTACCTAAATATTTTTTGTTTGTCCATGAAGGCTTTGTTTTATAATCAAAAGGTGCCAAGAGGCTATCAGTATCTTCCACCCTAAAGTAAATATACAGAGGTTAAAGCACATAAAGAAAGAATAAAAAGATGCTGCGACCAATTTACTCGGAAAATTTACATCCAAAAGCAAAAGTATTCAAGTAAATAAAAAAGCAAATTAACCTTTTCATTTACTTCAGAAAAACAGAAGAATTATTTAGATGATTAAGCAAGTCATGTAAGAAGAATTTTAAGTTTATAATATTTTTGTTACAGTTTGTTTTTCAGTATTCACAATAGCACCTTGTCAATTGAGGTTCATGCTTTCTGTTATTGTTTCCTTTAATTTTGTATTTTTTGTACAGTGTAGTGTAGAGTTGGTGTAGATTGTAGTGTGTTGTGTTGAGTGTATAAAAAATATTTATATTTTTTATATAAAAATATATAATTAAATAATTTATATTTAATCTAATAACAATGTTGGAAGCCATAATACGCAGTTGTCTTTAACTGGAAGCAGCAGCTTGTTGTGCATCACAGTGCAGTCAGGGAAAAGAGCAGAACATCTATTGGAAGAAGGACAGTTTTTAAATGAATGTGGTTTCTTCTTTCAGCCTTACCTGAGCACGCCAATGCACAGACTGACAGTAATGTAAAATACTGTATAGAATGTCATCAAACACATCAGCAGATTCAGGACAACAATCTGAAAAAATATTTTGAAAATAAAATTTAGTTTAACTTACAGTAATGTAGTATAGTAATAAAATGTAATCTACAGGCTAATATGACAAGTTGATAGTATTAAACTTATATACTGTGTTCTATTTACAAGTAGCATTTAACACTAAATTGAGATTTTAATACATTAACTCTGGTCTAAACTAAACATAAACCAATAACAGAAACAAAGATTAGGGTAGCAAAGACTCAATTTCTTAGTCCGAAGTTGAGTAGGAACATGTTTATTAGGAACATATTTTGCCTTGCACACATTTGTTGGCTACTGTACCAACAGAGGAGCAGAAACATTTATTACAGTCTGCAACATAGCTCATAGTAAGGTTAGCTGCATTTCACTGACCTCACATACTGTATAGTTATTACAATACTTGATAACCTTTAAAATGATAAAAAGCACAATTAGCATGTATTTTATTTTTTTACTATAAACTGTTTATCAAATAATTCAATAAATGAAGTGGGACATTGCTTCCTTTTGAAACCGATTTCTTAGTTATCATAACATGAAAAATTCTGATGCTCACTAAACCCCTGATAGTGCATGACCTGACAATTCCATAAACAGCCACCGTCTTTTGTGTATCCGTTTCCTTTATAATAAAATCTTAAATACTGAAAAAAACTCATAGAGACTTGCTTTCTTTGCAAAAAAAACAGTTTTCTTTTCTTGTTCAGTGAATTATTTTAACAGAAATTTAAATGATAAGATTTCATATATACAGGTGTTTCAGTACCGACATCAAGTATTTTATTATAGTATGTACTGTAGCTGATTATTACATTTGTTGCGTCAAACATTGCTAACTGCCCGTATAAAAATAGTAATTGTAATTATCGTTGGTAACATATCCAATTAAAAATTCAAAGCATTTGTTTAAATTAAGAGAACAATATTTCACTTTTTTTAAAAGCTGTATGCACGTGTAGAAATTATTCAAGTTTCTGAGCATTGCATATGGAAAAATTGTATTCATCTTACCATAATTACTAATAGCATTAGAACACAGGAGAGAAACAAGGCCAATTATTCTTTGCTTGGTTACCTTTCTAGAATCGCTGTAAAATAAGCCAATGTAAAAACTTTACCTTTGTGTCAGCAACCTTGATCTTGATTGCCATGTAACCATGCTGTTCTACTAAAATAGCTTCACAAAATATGGTTAATTGCTAGAAACGCTTTGTAAAACTCATGTAAGCAATTACAGCAGTAGTGGGATCTGTTCTTTTAGGCTTTATTGGATTACACGGATAACAGCCATCTGCCAATCCAAGGTGAACAAAGCACAGAAGCACTGCCCACACTCATACCTGCCAGTATTTAAAAACACACTGCGACAATATGTACTGTATCAAAATGAAACATCCTGCTTAATAATATCAAAAGATTTTACTGTATGATGCTCATGACCTTCATTTCACATTCTTTTATTAAAATATTAACAGCTGGTTTAGTTTCAAGTTCTGCCAGTTTTTGTAACTTGATAATTCATTGCCAATTGCTTTAAAATGCAAATAGGCCATTGAACTCATTGGGATGACTGTCTAACTCTGTCATGAGGTGATGAAGCTCGGGGTTCATGAAGTGTGCTATAAAATCACAAAGGAAACTTTGGTAAGGCAAGCCTGTCAAAGATGGTGTTGTTGATCAAACACATTAGCATTGTTATGCCTTAGTAAACATTTCTACAAGGACAATGAAATTTGTGTTTTTTAGTCTGAGGTACAGTACAAATTTAAATGTACAGCAAAAAACACAGAGCCAATAAAGTTGACTAGGGACTTTAAACTTATCATGAAAATAAAATCCTTCACTAATCCAAATAATGATTCAGTAGTGTGGTTAAACCCTAGTTAAGACAGAGAAGAGGTGTGACTATAATGTACAGATTTATTACAGAAACTGGCCTGGCTGAGAAGAACGACAGTTCATCCATGAGGTTGAAACTCTGGAAACCCCCAAAATAACAACTGAGACCCCATAATGCCAATGCAGAATTCTTAAATTATGGTAACTAACAATAGAATATGAATGAGGATATGGTTAGTGGATGGAACACATAAGACAGAAAGGAAAGCGCCAAGTAAATCTTTAGTAATACAGTACGTTCTCATTCATTCAGCACTGAAGCAGAATCCTGAATCTAGGTGAGAGTGTGCTTGCTTAAGGACTCCTGGAATTAGAGTCGATGTAAAACTCTGTGACTTTAGAGGAGCAGTGCTTCAGATTAAATGCATTAACTGGGAATTTTATTATATGCAGCTGGTTATTTGAATTATTTGGGGGATTACTTGAGGAGCAGTGAATAATGCTATGTAAATTGAAAGAATGGCTGGAAAATATTTGGTGCTAAAGCTGCATTTTGAGGAGGTGGTGTAGGAACCAGTGGCAAGTCGCTCGCTGTGTGCAGAGGTGTAGTCAGTATGAAGGGATGGCTGATCCAGATGAGAACAGATTCTGGCTCCTAGTGCAACCCCAAAGAGAGGGTGCTACTTAAAGACATAAAGTCTAGGCTCAGTGTGTGTTGCTGGTGAAAATTTCTATGTCTTCAAAAGATGAAGTACAGTCATTACAGAAGTGATGCCTGGACTCAATGCTTGAAGTGACCGAGAGGGCTCCTACTTAGACACTGGAAACAGGACAGGCGAGGGGAAGGAGACAAGCACAGAGACAGGGCCGGTGCCCCAGTGGCGTTGGGTTGGGTATTTCGACAACGAAACAGCGAGCGACGCAAGAGAATGCGACTGCCTAGGGCGCGAGCGAGTGAACGACAGCACAGCTGCCCTGGCAGCAAGGAAGAGAGGGCTGTGAAGAAAAGCCCGGACCTGAGGCTGAATGATGCTGTACGCTCGGGCCAGGGGGGGCCACATGTCAGCGGCCAGAGAAGCAAGGATGCACTGGAACCGTGGGGAGCGAAGACATCAGAAGCAGCTGGAAGCACGAAGCACATTATGGCAACTGGTTGTTTCCATGAAGTGTGTAGAGATGGAGAAGAGAGAATAATTCTGAGCTGCCGCACAAAAGGGTGATTCGATCCCTTTTTAGGATATTTGTATACAAATTGCAGTCAAGTCCATTATATCAAGATTTTTTTAATGAAAAAATAACTGCACAATGTTGCACTGTAACGTACTGTACATATCTAGTGAGAGAAAATGCAGAATAGCACCATGTGTAACTGAACATCTTTATTCATTACAATTTCACTTCTTTTGGGATTCCCATTGCATAGTAGAAAGAAAGGCAAAAGAAAGGATAGACATAATAATAATGATTGTTTACACTTACAGAATATAGCGTTTTTCTGGACACTCCACTCAAAGTGCTTTACAGGTAATGGAGACTACCCTTCACCACCACCAGTGTGCAGTCCCACCTAGATGATGCGCCAGCAGCCATAGCGCTCCAGTACACTCCCCACACACCAGCACTCAGTGGGGAGAAGAACAGTGATGAAGCCAGTTCAGAGATGGGGATTATTAGGAGCTTTAAGAAGATGAGCTGTCAGTCCAATAGCACAAAGAAACAGAAAGAAAATATGGAGACTCACACTGTTTTGAAATCACAAGGAGAGGCTTGCTTGGGAAAGGATGCGCATATACAGTAGGTACTTGTAAACAGACAAGAGACTGAAGATGGCAAGACCAACTGTTGGCAGATATGTAAAAAAAATAACGCTTTCCCATTTGGGTTTACTTTTAGATCAGCTGAAGTCTGTGGCCTACTGAGATGCTGGAAGTGTCTGTTTCTCTTGAAGCAAGCAGAAGAAAAAGAGGAGAGAGAGAGTCTTTATTATCCCCATGGGGGGAAAGTTGTTAAAAAATAAAAGACAGGCATCTCTGTACTCCGCTGGCTTGTACAGTAGGTCGTCAATTGAATCACGTTGCAGTAGCAAGGTGACTGCATGTTGGCCAGGATTATGGAAGGGAGAGGAATACGGTTAAGTTGATCTTTTCTACATCTGTGGCGTATACCGCCTTTATATTGCTTTTTATTGTCCGTGTCAGAATGTGCGTTTTACCATCTAAGTAGGATAGCAGGAAAGTCACTAATTAGTTAAAAGACCACATTGTTTGAATGCCAACACATACAGTAAGGAGAAGCCATGGAGCATGCCACAGTAAGGTCTGTCTCTGGCAAGGGCAAACTCTGAAGGTGAAAATGAAAAGTGTGTGTTTTTTTCTACTTTCATTTGGCTTTTTCTTTCAAAATAGTTGGACTTTCATAGCTTCCTGAGTCAGGTGTTGGGTATTCTCTGACTCCAATGAGAGCAAATGCTGAATGTGAAAACAAATATGCAAATGAGCAAACAGAAAATGTGATATGTACAGTTTACATAGGATGTGGGCAAGTTTAGGTTGTAGAAGTTCAAGTAGGGAGCTGCATCAGCATGTGTAGGCTGCAAAGGAACAGGTAAAGGTTTATTCCATGCTGAAAGGAAAAGAAAAGAGACACAATGTTATGGCTTTGGACTGACTACACATATTAAAAAAGCAGTTTCAATGCATAATCATACACAATAATATAACTGTAAAGATTACTGTTGGTAATAACTGCATGGAAAAAGCATGTGAGAGAAAAGGGAAACTAAATAAAAGGGGTTAAAAGTGCAATATCAGTGGGCTGTTGAGAAATGTTTGTGCTGGATTTCGTGAGTGCAACAGTGGCCCACACTCATTCATCGGTGCTTGTGACATCACTAACACCTGACAGGCCACCGCGCCTGTCTGGAGAGGCAAGCTAGGGCTGCAGCTTTTCCCTTTCAAACAGCACTTTGTCGTCTGTAGGGTGTTGAGGAGCTGGATATCCTCCAGCCTCCACAGTATGACAGACAAAAGTGCAACCTGCAAAAGCCCAGATGCACTGAAACCGGGATATCAATGCCAATGAGATAGACATCGACTGGAGACTGAATTCTGTTCTGTCTTCATTTTATTTCTGTTCTGTGGCTTGTAATCCAACACCCAGCACTACTGGAGACGATAAAAGAGTGGGAGAGTACGAGAGCACACAAAGGCGTGTCTGAGAAGTCTTTCCTCGTCCAGCCGGCCGCTAAGACATTCAAGCAAGCTGACCCATACACAGCCTGATGAAGCTCAGGTGATTAATGCAAAAGGGGGATAGGATAGTTTTGATTTGCTTCACTGGCTGCACTGTATGCAGCCGATTGCCGTTCTGAAGGAGAAGGCTGCGAAGGATGTTTCAAAAGGATACTTGGAGCTACCCATTTATAGAGGTTATGGAATACTCTAGCTAATTAAAAGAATGAACTGTGATCCGCAGAAAGCACTTCTAATTATCTTTACTTAATAAGGCTTTGTTTTAGATTTGGTTTTGGCAGCAAAACGAAAAAGTGGCATCACAGCGCTAAACAGGAATTTACAGTACAGGAAACAGCATAAAAAATGTGTAACATCGATAAAATATACAAAATAAAACTGAACAGGAATGACTGGGCTTGGAAAGATCATGGGACCTACAAATACAATTGAATCAGATGAACACAAAAAAACACCAGCCTATCTAATTGTTAATGACTGGATTGAAGCCTTTAAGTGATTATTAAAAACTAGTCACTTCAAATGCAAATACAGTGAATATGTCTAACAAATACATTAGCTAGACTGTTTACTGGATGTTCTATGAAAGCTTTTTGACATTTGAGATCTATAAAAACAGATCAATGATCGTGACTCTGGTATATTTGTAGGTGGTAACAGTAACATTGAAGTAACATTGATAAATATGCAGATGATGCAAAAGTAGGTGGAGTTGAAAATAAATTTCAACAGTGCAAGTCATTTTTGAGGCACTATTTGGATAATCTGAGGCACTATCTGGAGAATGTTTAGGTACCTGTCAAAAGAAATTCAAACTAGATAAATGCAAGTTTGTGCAGACAGCTATAATGTATTGTCTAAGTAAAGAAAATTGTAGGTGGTAATGGACAAGAAGCGAAGGAATGAATGGAAAATATCTCAGATTCATGTTGACTCAATACTTATATATTCTAGAGAGTGCAGTAAAAATAGCAAAAGCAATAGTAAAATGGCTGGTAAAAATTTGGGTAATATACTGTAGTTAAAGGCATGTAATGTACCATGTAAATTTAAGGTCTCACTTTGAATATTTTGTTCAATTCTGCACACTGTAGAAAAATATTGCTATTCTAGATGCGGTAAAAAAGGACTACGTCGTGGTCTGGAAGGAATGTCATACTTGGAGTGATTAAGAGAGCTGTTTAATTCAGGTGTTCAAAAAGCTGAAAGGAATTGACCAAGTCAGTACAGGGAACTGTACGTCTTCAAGATTACCAACATTGTAAGGAACCTGGGACACAAGTGGAAATTAACTTCAGGAGCATATTGGACAGAAAAGTGAAGACACTCCTTTACATAGGGGAACTTGGGAGCCTGGTACAAGCTCCCTTGCCAAAATATTGAAGCTGAGCCTGTGGGATTTCTCGATGGAATTCTTGGCTCCTTATGCTACTGGCATCCAAATGTTGAGAATGGGTCGAATGGCCTCCTGGCATTAGTAACCTTTCTCATGTTATTACGTCTCTGCAGAGTTTCTTCTTAGAAGAAGAAGAACAAAGTCCAGCACAAAATGAATGTTCAATGTGATATCAAAAGCAGAATTGAATGCACATCACCAGATAAGAGCTCAGCACCATCGGCACATCACAGAGAATATTTTAGGAAGGAGATTCAAGCAGACACCAGTGAGGAATGGGGAACTGCGCAGAAGTGAAATCAAAGTTCAGATAATGTTGGAGTTAAAACATTTATACTTCATGAGGAATAATGTCATCCAGGAATCAGATGATTTATGAATGTTGATTGAGTAGTTCAAGTATAATAAATGACTTGGTATAGTATAATTACCCACCTGGTAAAGGAGCAGCCCAATGGCCATAAACATAGAAGACTCAGGATGCCATTTCAGGGGATTTAACCAGCAGAAAGGTGAAAATGGGATAGAGGAGAGACACATGAGACACAATGCAAAATACAGTACATCTTTCAAAGTAAAAATTGAGTGTGATAAGTAGGAAACATTGGGAAAAGATTACGATTTAGCCTAGGTGAGATGGACTTCTTGTAATCCCTACTAAACGTCACTTATGAATTTCCATATGATATGCTGTATAGCACATTATACTGAGATAAAATAGCACAAATACTGTAAAACTACAGAGCAATTACCGTAAGCTGCAGTAAGGAGCAGCAGTTAGGATTGTGAAAGAGAAGGTCATATAGTACAGTATGTTCAAGTCCTAGGAGCAATGCTGCTGTCACACACTTGTGCTGACTGTACTGTGTGAACAAAACTCAAGAATGCGGGAGTCCATTATGTAGAAGAGGAATTAAGTCGCAACTGAATAAAAAGTGAATGTGCTTTTCCACCAGTAGATGAGGGAGAAATAGCAAGCCGGAGGTGGAATATTGCATTTCCCAAAAATCTTGATGATATTGTCCGTGGCTTGATTGTCTCTGTGGTAACTTGCTTTTACAGTATGTGCCACAGTGGAATAGTGCAAACAGCTACAGCTACATGTTCAACAGCCTAGGCTGGACAGAAAGACCCATTAGAGAACTGAGAAGATTAACAACAGAGTGTGGAGGACATCGTTTTGAGTCTTTTTCAGGAGTCTGTTATATACAGTAGCTCACTCTCCTGAAAGTGATCAGCATCATCTATACTGTGACCTTCTGTATACTTTGATGTGCTCCATTGTATAGGATAGCAGTGATTGATTTTAGCTAGCTAATTGAAGAAATTAGGAATGATTAAAGAGGAAAGATTAAAGAACAGCAGTGTTTTCTGCAGTACTGCACTGTACTGTATGTCCCATCACCTCGTGCACCTTACAATCTTAAAACAAACTGCCTTTTCCATGCACAACAGAGAAGTCAGGATTCAAAATATTGAATAAGGGACACTGAACAGCCATCTAGCTAAGTCACATGCCTGCCCTCTTTATCTTTAGTCTCTTTTCCACAAAAAAACTTCGTCTCTTAACAACATGCACTGACAGAAAACGCATGTAAATCTTAAAGAACCTACAGTATCTGGTTTCAAAATGTTTCTTTTTTGTTTAGCTGAACATGTTTTCAGATTTATCTTCCTCTGAAGGGGTTTAAAATACTACACACTTATACAGTACTGTATCGCTTGTTCGACCATTCATACTGTATTCGTGTACAGTATGTTTACACAAACAGCCAATACATTGATACTGGATCGATATGAGCCACGTTCTTTATCAACTCAAGAGGATATCTGAGCACCTGCTATAAAGAATGACTAAAGTGTTTTAATTTGATCGAATCCAGAGACAACGGAAAAAGCACCACTCAATATTGTAAATCAACATTATATTTACATAATCAAAGTGACACAGTATTTCAGCTTCTTAGTGTTGATATTTTACTTCGGGAAAAAAATACTTTCGTACGGATATTTTTTTTACGTTTCCGTGTCGACATTAATAAATCTTTTATTTATGTACAGCCTCACTTGCGTTCATTCATTCGTTTCGATGTATCCAGAAATAGATTGAAACGCTGCAATAAAGTCCAACGCATGACATATCCGAAGTTATACCTTTAGGTTGTAATAATTAGTCATTATTTTAAAAAAAAGACGATTACGTATAGTACGAATTATTTCAAAACATCTGATTTAATCTGAAAGGTTATTTTAAAGAGGGAATAATTTCCGCTCACTTACAAGCTAGTATATTTTGAGTAACAAAATGGTAACCGCTACTACTCATAACGAAACAAATAGAAATTTGATTTCCCAAGTGCTACATCTGCACAGCATAGTTTGCGATCCAATGACAACTATTTGTCTTGACGTCTCTTTGTTAAGGACAACAACAGTAAACTATAAGTAGATGAACAGATTTCGTATTTTTTAAGGCTGGCAAAACTTCGGTATCATGTGTTATAGGCTATTCTGCAGCTCTCGCTCGTCTCTCCGCTCATGCGCATTGAATGGTGTCTGAGCAATTTGTCAGTACTCGTGAGAGAATTTGGGTAAGAAACAGACAAATTTAAACAACAATACTTTTAAATCAATATGTTTGTGCAACAAATTCTTCCCTACAGTTAGGTGTACGGGACTATCTTTTACTTTCGTTTTAGGTTTGCCGCATTTTAATTAGCCTGAAACTTAGAAATAAAGTACAAATCGACTGGACGTGTCATCAATAATTTTAGCCAGGAAGAGGATTGAGTGTGATAGAGCATGAAATGAATTACACAATAAAATTACAATAAAAGTAGCCCAGAAAATTATTGCTTACGATGGAAGTCATTGTTGGCTCCCATTGTATTTTGCAGGAGACGACAATTTTATGATTTATTTGAACTCTTTGAAGAATAATGCCAGTTTTAGAGCAATTCCTTCCTCTGGGTGAGAAACAGCAGAAACTGGGCGCTGGGAGCAAGAGATAAAGAGGGCAAGAGATAAATATTTAAGCCACCATTTCTTTTCATTAGGCTTTATAGTAAGTAAAATTATATTTTTTTGTTTGAATGCAACGTGTCTAAGGGCCTGTGGATGAGAATTATATAGAGTATATTCCAGTTCCGCCATTTTGGGGAAACTGCCTTTAAAAACACATTAAATAGTATCAGAGAAAAGAAAAGTGTTTATCAGCTACGGACCTCAGTTCAATGCATGATACGCGTCTTGCGTGGGCATGGACATCGGTAAATATGAAGCTCCTAGTTTCGCAAGTGAAAAGAAACAAAGTAATTTAATATTAAACTTGCGCTGAACTGTGTCTTATTCACCGAAAAAAGAAAAGTATTTGAGGAAGAGATCTAAAAATAAGTATAAAAAAATCCCCAATATCGAGGAAAGGAAATTGACAGCAAGATGAAAAGGAATACATGAACATGAAGTGTTTGTCTTTCGCTTATGCGTTAATTATAATAATGATTACCTTAATTATAAAATACATGAGTAATTTTATTATATTTGTCAGTTTTTGTGATGACAGTTTTTTTATTCTCTTCATTTTGGTTTTGCGTTACGTATCTCACACCTTTACCGTGAAATGAAATGAAGTCTGTTGAATTCGTGATCTATGGCCGTTATTGTTCCTGTACTGTACGTATTGTAATAAAACGCCTTGAGAAAGCGCGAAGAAAATGTAGATACTTTCAATATCATTAATGAAAACACATAAATCTAATAGAAGACTTCGACTTAGTTAGATATTGCTGTTAGTATTATTTTTTTTCATAGTTGAAGCAAATTTTAGCACGTTGTTCGCATATTATGAACCGTATATATGATAAATTGCATAACTGAAATTACTAAATAAAGTCTTAAGGTGTAACGCACAAGTAATGGATAACCTTATGAATTTTATTGCTGTTTGATGAAAACAATCTTTTATGTATCATGAATTATGGTCTATAATATAGAACATTTGTCTCCATTTTTTCATTGTCATTTCATTGTTAAATTAGCTCTCGAAAGTTTCAAGCGCAGAATTATATTAACCTGGGCAATGGTGACCTCTAGCGGTGATAAATGCCAGCGTTTAGGTAATTTTGTCCTTTTAGATGAGCTGTTCTGCACCCATCATTAACAGGTTTGAATATACGTTATTATATACAAAAAAAATCATTGTCTCATTTCCCTCGAAAAAAAGGAAGAATTAAATTTTAACCTAAGGAATAGGACTAATTAGCATGAAAATGTGACATCAGAAAACTATACAAATCCAATTTATCCATCCATCTGTTTTGTAAACACTTTGTTCAGTTCAGGGTGACAGGGGAGCCAGAGCCTATAGCAGCAAACAATGGGCACAAGGCAGGATACACCCTGGATGGGACACCAGTCCATCACAGGGCACTCGTACACACTGACAATCACACCAGGGCCAATTTTCCCAGAAGCCAATTGACCTATCAGAACAGGATGGCTTTGGACTGTGGGAGGAATACAGAGGAGCCTATGATTGTGGCGGAGGCACATAACAACAATTAAACATTATTCCCTTGTAAATAACAAATAGAAAATTATAGATTTAAATCTAAAGACAGGCTGGGTTAAAAAAATCCCTGCATTTGTTTCATAAATTATTTAAATTGTGTTTTAATTGTGTAAAGCCTACACTATTTGCAGTTTTTGTCTTACTTCGCAAAATTAAAAACATGTTTACGATTAATTGCATAAGACCTAGAAAGAAGTTTTGTGAATACAGCGGCGCTTGGCATTGGTGCGATTTCACCTTTCTGTGCTGAGGGATCCAGGTCCCATTGTGATCTGTGGGAAGAGGCTGTTCATTTCCCAAATGGTGCTTTTCAGGGTGCTGTACTTTTTTAAAAGATATGGAAGAATCGCCTGCGAGTCTAGGAGCTCAAGACTTTGATGTTTACAGTGCAATGGACTGGAAAGATGGAGTTGGAACTCTTCTAGGAAGTGAGCTGAAGGTGAGACTGTCGGGATATCCAATTCAGAATGCCTAGTTTTTTTTAACTCTTGGATTTTGAATGCTTCGTTTTATCTAGTCTTCCTTTATTGAAGCATAATAAGTAACAATCATTTACTGAATGTTGTACAAATGTATGAATGGGAAGAAATATTTTGGCATTGTCTGTCAGAGACCAGGCAGGGACAATGCTAACCAGTGCAAGCAAATAAAACTGATAAAGGAGATCTAGCAGGTACGTCAAGGCCCTTGTGAAAGTTGAGATGGGTCACTGTAACAAGGAAATTACTAAAAGCAATGATGAACTCCTGGTCCATGTTATATTCTACTTACACATTAGCTCAGAATATATTTTCCCAGGAGGTGCTGTAGCAGCTTCAGATAAAGGGTCAGCCATAAGCAATTTCATAGTTTTACGTTTTTTTTAAATACAGTTCTCCGAAGACGTCTCATTTTTATGAACACAAAGGGACACATTTTCAGTACAATGAGTACTGTGTGATCAATGGTCTTCATTAAGTAAAGGATTTCACCTTTGGTGAAACCTAACAGTTACATGTTTCACATTTTGGATTCAATTAATTAATTTTATTATTAACAGTATTTGTAGGGTATTGTAAGTTATTTGGCAGATTTGATCTTTTTATATTGTTTTTGTATTTTTTAGGTGTTAGTACTGTATACTTGAAAAAATACTCAAGAGTCTTCTTATGGTGTTCTCTAGTTATAAACTGGTGCATATACATTTTAATGTCTCTAATTTCATATACAACTTAATATTTTGCTTGAAACCTACAGTAAATGCTCAAACTGAAGACTTGTAAGATAAGTTACAGTAAATGTCAGTAAAATTAGGTAGAAAAAAATGTTAATTGCATAAGTATTCAGACCCATGAACACGATATTTGGTGGAAACAAATTGTGCAGCAAATATGTTTGGGCCCCTACCAGCTTTTCCCACTGGATGTGTGCAGTGTTTACCCGTTGGTCCCTTATGGACAGCAGTTATCAAGTCTTTCCACAGGTCCTCAATATGATTCAAGTCAGGACTTTTATCGGGCCACTTCACTTTCTTTTTCTTAAACCAGTGCAGCGTAGCTTTGGCCTTGTGTTTTGGATCATTGCCCTACCGAAAGGTGAGGTTTTTTGTCTTTCACAGACTGAAACAAGTTTTCTTCCAGTATTTTCCTGCACTTGACTCTGGCCATTTTTCCTTCAATCTTAAGAATCTTTCCAAACGCTGCTGAGGAGAAGCACTGTCGTAGCACCATGCTCAATTTCAGAGATGTTGCTGACTGGCTGGTGTGCTGTGTGGGTTTTGTGCCACATGTAACACAGTGAAATTACTGTGCACCAAAAAGTGACAATCTGTCTGCCTTGTCTGCCCAAAAGGTGGTTTTGCCGCAATTGTGCCTTATTCTTTAAGTGCTGGGATTTGAGCTGGGTTTGCCACTCTGCCACACAAGCCAGCTTTGTGAAATAAGATAATTGGGAAATGACTGGGATATTCATGATCGATGCACATTTTCTCCCCTGTCAGCCGTGAAACTCTGTAGTTCTTTCAAAGCTGGAAATTGGCCTCACGGTGGCCTCCCTTACCAGATGACTTTATTTCTGACTTTCTTTGAAAGCTGCTTAGTACGCATGGTTGGATTTTTGCTTGAATGTCACTACCTGTCCTAAGAAACGTACAGAGATAGTTGTTTGAGTTCTGAAACCATGTGAGCTATTATTATTGCACACAGGCAGGGGCCTCTCAATTAACTGTGAGGCTCATTAAGGTCTGTTTATACAGCTAAATTAATTTAGATTTGCTACCGCAAAGGGCTGGAATACTTATGAAGTCAGCACTTTTCTGTTTTTCTTTCATATGACTTATCTGTTTACTTCTATTTGTTTTTTTTGTGTTTTTAATGTGTGGACTATGTTGTATACTAAACAAATATTAATTACAAACTGTATGTGAAACAGTGTCACAGAATATCTACCTGCGTGTTGCTGGTTAAACTGTTTCCAATTAAAGCACTTTCGCTCTGTTTCAAACTTTTTCTCCTATTAGTTTCGTGTGAATGAATTTGGAGTTTTGGAGGTGATCAATGACGAGACTGAAGTGGAAAGTGTCAAAAAGGCACATGCTACAACAACATGGGCTGTACCCACTGCACAGGAAGGCAAGAGTGATGCTTAATATTTAAAAAATTTAACCATTTTCACTAATTGCCTGGATCTGGACCTATATGTTGCAGAAATGGTGATTTAAGAAATACCAGTGAAAGGCACTGAAAGCAAAACGTGAATGTTTGCTTGATTTGTGGTGTATTCTGTGACGTGCCCTGCAGTTACAGTAAATGAAACAAGAACTGCATAAACAAAGGAGGATCAAGAATATTTTACTGTTTTGAAAGGTGCTAGACTAATGAGCAAGAAAAAAGATGGAAAATTTCCTAGAGCGGGACATTGTTTTCCTATTGAAGTCTCCAAAACCACTAAGTCTTACTCATTTTCAATAACGATAATGTATTTGTAAACTAAATAGTAATAGTAAAGTCAAATAAAGTGAACATGAACACTGTTAAGCACTTTGTAAAATATATTTTTTTTACTATGATCCATTTACAAAAAAAGGTGAGCGACTTCTCCCTCACTTCTTTTCTTTGTTGAACTTTGTACCGTATGGTATCAAATTTGACTGAGTTTATTGACTGAGATTCATGTATTGAATAATACTTTGTTTTCAGAAACAGCTCAGTTTCAATTAGGAGCAGGCAACCTTTTCTCTTGTAATATCATTTAAATATAGGAAACAGTTTTTTTAATAATACCATCTTTGCCAAACACTCTATCCTAAATGTGTGTGAGAGTGTTTCCAAGGAAAAGCTACCAGTAGTTTCCAATGAAAACTGTGCCTTTGCAGCTTGTTAGTTAGGTTATAGTATTAAACACCAATTGTTTAAGGTATACAAAACTGAAATGCTGAGACCAATTCAGCGTGTGGAGTTATTCTTTTTTTTCTGCTTCAATTAAACATAGTTTACTAAAATATTTAAAGGTATTGTTGTATTTGAATTGTTGTTTTAAGTTTTGGTGTAGAGCTTTACAATTTTTAACCACTATTGTTACAGAGGTACAAAATCGGACTGAAAAACATAGGTTCATAGTGAAACTCATTTTACTTTCTACCTCTTTCTAGCTTTTTCAGAAAGTCGGACAAACATAAAGGAGGAAAGGCCAGTGACCAGAGGAAACCTGCGCTGTGCACACTGCCATCAGATTGGCTCACCTCAAGACTCTCATCCTGATGGAAAATTCTGCAGTGAGAAATGTTTGCAGCAAGCACAGGAAAAGTAAGCTGAGATGAGTGATTTTTATTGCTAAGGGACAATACTTACATTAGTCTTAAAGCAAGCCACCTTTCTTTGGATCATGAGTCATCATGCCCGTCTGGGTTGAAGCTTCAAGAGAATGCATAGGGATAGACTGCTGCACACCTGAAACTGAGGGCTGCCTATTTCCGACCGCAGGCAAACCAAAACGAAACGAAAAAATGTTAAGAGATTATTATTATTATTATTATTATTATTATTATTATTAATAATGGGCAAAATTTAACACAACAAGTGTAATAGTTATATTTAACATTTGTTTTAATTGTTATTAATTTTGGTACCTGTTGCTCCTATTGCTTTCATGAGCTCTTTTCAGTGCTGTTGTGTCATTGCTTTCTTTTTGGCACCAGACTGGTACAGTACTTACAGAAATCTTCCTAATGGCAGCACTCATGAGAAACATCATGAGCCTCTGATAATAGATCCATTCATTCCAGAAACAGATTTATTTCCAGAAACAAGAACAGCATATATAGTACAGTACAAAGGAGGATCAAGTATAATTTACTGTTTTGTAAGGCGCTAGACTAATGAGCAAGGAAAATGATGGAAAATGCCAATCATTTTTGGCATATAAAAACATTTAATTCCAAGCTTGTATGGTTTATCCTTTAATGTTCAATGTTTGGTTGTGGGAGCCTGGGACAAGCTATTCAGCCTCTTTGATGAAACGGATACCTTTCTTCAGGAGCCAGCTGAGATAGATCTTTGAATCAATCGTGATGTGGGCTGAATGACACCCTGTCATATGTTATATTTTTTACCTTCAGTTTTTTAGATTTTGACATGGAACATTTTAACATTTTAACGGAAGGATTTTAACAATGCAAGAGATTTCACCTTCCCCTCTCCTGAGTGGTCTCCCCTGCTCTCCCCAGATGCCACTGCAGTCACACCTGCGTCAGTCTATCCAGTCAGTCAGTTTATTCCAACTGCAGCTTTTCTCCAGATCCGCAGAGTCGTACCGCTGTTATGGCCTTATTCACCCTGACAGTACACGGGTATTATGTCTCTGCAGTATGACAACCATTGCAGTAGAGATTATGAGCTGGGGGCCAGATCTGTGCTGCAGTCAAACCAACGAGCCAGATTTTCCATTGACACTCCTTTGGTTGAAGTCATGAGTCCCTATTAAGTACTGTTGCAACACAACTGGATCCAGTGGTATGTTTCCTCCAGTAGTTCTGGACAGTTTGCGTGTCAGGTGATCCTAAAAGCTATTAACATCTGTGCCTTCCCAAAACATGTGCATGAAACTGCCAAGTTCGTTTCTTACCTTCTTATAATTTCTTACTTTTCTCCATTTTAGTTCAGAACTCACATTTTTACTAGTAAATGAGTATCTTCCTTTTTGACTCTCTGTTTTTTTTAACTCTCAAGTTACATCCATTCATGCTATCTAAATTTAAAATATTTGTGTACCAATAGGATGAGGTGAATAAATGAAAGCAATTTCAGTATCTACACCACAGACAGTCATGGCTAGATATTTAATTTTGTGGTTTCTGGATGTAAGAAGTACTCACACGATGCATCATGTTGCATGGTTGAGCAGGTGAGTGCTACATATCCTTGGCCCGGTATCACAGCTAATATATCCATTGTGTTTTTAAAGAAGAGCTGCCAGGAAAATATTCATCTTAAACTGGTTTTCCCTTGGAAGGTTTAAGACTGCCATGGCAACAGTGGTGGAAAAAAGCAGTTTTGCTTTTCAGCGTTACCCTACTTAGATAGAAGAGATAATAACACCTCAGTACATGAGAACATGGAGAAAGGATACAAATGAGATTTTGCCTACTTAGCTCATTTGGTTACTAGTGGCTAATTGATCCGAGGGTCTTATCCATAATTATAAGATTTGTTATCCTTAGCCATTTCTTGGAAGTAGACAGGGTCGGTTTTAAATGCACTGCCTCATGGTTTTCAATTCTGTCCTTTGGGTTGTGTTCCAAGAACATTTGGAAATGGCTGCACCTTAGTCTATGTCTGGGAATGCACCTAGGAGTTTCTTTTCAAGTGCTCTTGTTTTATTGTCAAAACTAAACTTGATTTAGGCCTTATACAGTAGGTCCATGGGCAGTCCATCCATATAGGAGACTTAGGTGAGGAGGAGAGAAATTTTAGGAGAGAAAAAGGTTTTAAAAAACGAGTACAAAAAATGTAAAAGATTTTTAAATATAAATAAGAAAGGTGTCATTAATTAAATTTATGGGCGGGTATGCAGGGGATATGAATTATAATGAGTATAGACTGGCCATATCTTGAGTTAACATCTTTCAGCATTATGAATCCAGAATGTTAGCATCTGTAAGCGTTATTAAACCTTAAGTACTGTATATTGCTGAGTGTAATTATGAACTTTTCTGTCTTATAACTGTACCACATGAAGAGTGCAGTCACAAATTTGAATGTGGAAAGGTTATCTGCAAGAGCTTTTGCATGTGAAAGTGCTGTGTTGACAGAATATGAGCTGTTGCTAAATCTCCCTTCTTATATGCTCAAAAGCAAATGTGAATCTGTGTCCCTATTCTAAATAGACATCACCAAATTAGGATACAGCGTTTTGAGGATTCCAAAATAAAAGAGATCTGAATTGAATAAAATAAGGGAATGGCGAGCTCTCTTACACAAGGTTCAAATTACTTAACCAAAATCTGGTCTCCAAGACAAGAACAAGGTCTTTCCGCCTTTGCTTCGATCCTCTGTTTACTAGCCTGTGAGCTCATCTGCAACTGGGTGAACTGGAACTCTGTGTTTCAGGCACTGTAAACTGAAAACTGCAAACTGCAAAGCTTTTATAACCACTGAACTCAGTGACACAGTTGTTGTGTTGAGGTAAATTGAACCAACCCTAACTTTTTAATTAGTGTACCTATTAGTTTGCTCGTCAAGCAAGCAGGTATTTTAAGACATCCACTAGATGGTGCCAGAAACTCCTTTTTGAAAAGGGAACATAAAAATATGTACCGGTAGAAGTACAGTACATATTTAAACATAACCACACAGAGAAGTGTGGTCTAAACACTTTTTGTTATAAAAATTAATTAGTTCATGCATACTACTGGCAGGCCCCCAATGGGAGTACACATACTGCAGTTTGGGAACCACCAGTCTAAAGCATGTAAATCAGAGGTGTCAATCATGTAGTCAGTGGGCTGGGTCTGGTCCGTCAAGCCCATTTGGCTGGCCCGTGTGGCAGGTACTGTCAAGAGTGTTGGGCAGAATTTCCCACCTTGTCTGGACTGTATAGCCCACATACAAAGCAGACTGGTAATGCTACCTTAATACACAGTGTTGAATCCACAGATCTCCCTGTGGTTTTCTACCTCTGTCCAATTTTAGACTATTTTGTGATTTCACAGGTCTAGCAGGTGTAGTTTGTCACAGACAGTGTTGGAAGCAGTCACTCATGCATTGTACCCAGATGCCAGATTCTGTCTCATTTCTCTTATAAAGCCTGAACAAGTAGTTGCCAGTTCTCTGATCTCAGAGGTCTAGGAGCCACATGTTATCTTAGGTAATCCCACAAATGGAGATCGGATGAGTGGGGTTTATCAAGTGTACCAAGCAGGATATCCACAGCATGAACATTATATTCTCATCTGCCGAGAAAGCAACTGTTACACAAGCAGCACGAATAATGTGTGTGGTTGTGCTGGATTGCGTATGTGTATGGAATTATGTTATGTATGGACAAGCCTATAGGAAGGTTAGGAAATAAGGTTCCAGGACTTTGATAATCAGCATAGCAACACGCAGCAAGATGCCTCAAGCTGGGGCTCTTTAGTGACTGTACATTCCTGCCCAGAGCATCACACATGAAGGAGGATGTGCCAATGTTAGATAGCTGTCATGGTCTCCCAGATTGTGGACTGTCCCTGACAATGTGTCTGACTGGAATATCTTTCCAGTTTAGAAATTCCTGGGCAATGAACACCCCAAATGGTGAAAGACAGTGAGCTGACTTTATTTAGTATTTAACAACCTGCTGGCATTAAGGTGTTGTTCTCCTGATAAGTAGGGGGATTTGGTTCCTTCTGTTTTTTTAAATTTATACCAGGCTTCTAATTCAACAGGTCAAATGACCCCATCATCGGTGTCCAATGAACTGTTACACTAACGAACTGTTACAGTGCTTGTGCAGCAGTCAGGGTCACTTGAATGTTGAGCTTGGAATGATCAATTAGTCAGAAAGGTACCGAAAATATTTTACCAGAATTTCTTCTCTTGTTCTCTAAAAATATAACATACATAAAAGCAATATGGTAAACCTGTTTTTCTATTTGTTTTTTTTTCCTTTTTGACTGCAGTGAACACAGACCAAAGAAAGACACAAAACCCAATGCTGAGCTGCACAGCACAAACAGAAAAAGAAAAATACAGCTGCTTGGAAACCTAAAAGCAGAGAATACAGAGGATGGAGATGACCCAAGAGAAGAGGAAGACGACTCTGTTAGTATTCTTTCTTATATAACACCGCCAGTGTGGTTTTATGTTTTGAGAAGGTGTGGAAGTATCTTTTGTATTCAGTGCTTTTATTTTTATAGCAGTTTGTGAAGAAAGCTGACCTACTCATTCTTGAGATTGTTGAATAAGTGGAGGTTTACTAATCATTCTATTATGTAATTATCAACGGAGCTTCACAAAAAGTAGTCAGAATCGTCCTGTGGTGTTTCCAGTTTTGTAAGATTACAAAATGATGTAGACAGCTTTTTTTACTTCATCGTTTATTCATAATAAATTATATTGATAATAAAGTAAAGGCTTCTAAGTGAGATAAGTTTAAGTAAATCTAAAAAAAAAAAAATGGTAAGTATTCAGACCCCTGAACTCATTATTTGGTTCGGCAATTTTGGCAGCACTTAAAACTTTTTGGGTAAGTTTTGTACTGACTTTGCACATCAGTTTATTGCAATTTTTGTTAAAGTTTCTTGGGAATCACTTATGGACAGTGGCTCTACAGATTCTTAATAGGAGAATGGCCATTCAAGGACATTCATTTTCTTTTTACTAAGTCACTCCAGTGTAGCCTTGGCTTTGTGCTTCATTGTCCTGCTGAAAGTTGTAGTTTTATTCCAGTTTTGTGTCTGAATCAGGTTTTCCTCTAAGATTTGCCAGATGTGCCCTATATTCCCGTAAGTTTTGACAAGCTTCCCAGTGATATTTGGTAGAATTAAGAAAGACATATAGAGAGGCGCAATGAACAGTTCTGCTTTAGAAGGAATTACCAGAGCGGATAAGGTGATGAGGAAGATTAATGTCTGCATCTCGTAAGGTGTGGCTTCTGTGAAACAAACATCAGGGCATTAGTCGGGGTAGGGAGAGGGATAACTGTGCAGAGGGAGTGGAGCTGTGAGAGAAGGATTGCATGGAGGAATCTGAGAAAAAAATGAGCAATCTGAGGTGTTTAGGTTGGGGGATTGTGAGAATTTAGGCTGTGGCAAATAGGAGGAGTAGGGAATGAGGGGAAATGGGAGTGCAGAGTCCACATAGAGGGCTGAGCATAGAGGAACACACAGGGAGGGATGTATTGGCATGACAGGGTGGAAGGGGTGGAGAGTGGGGGCTCCAGCTGAGCTCCTCTGGGTTACAGGGAACAGGAAAGAGTGCAGAGGCTGCAGGGTGTTTGCTTTGGTTTATTAGGACAGTGCTTCCCACAAACTAACAAACAATTATATATAACAAAAAAAATAATAAACCAGGAGTCCTACCACACTTAGGTCCTATCAGCTCCCCCACTGCAGCTACAGCAAGACTAAGCTCCTGTTAGATCTCTTTCATCCTCCTAAATAGGTACCGTATAGCCCTGCCCCCTTGGACTGTACCACTGTTACATAACAATTTATTGAGCTACATTTCTCAAGATAAACTTATTTCCAACCATAGCAATCCCTTCATTCCTTTAAACAATAGCATATACAGAATGTACAAAAACAAACCCAACCCTGAACACAACATTTTACTCATTTTTAACTATCTGTAAAAATGGTTCTTCCTTTACCGGAAGATGTGCGCATGCACCACTCAGCGTTGACACCACAAAGTCAAGCTGAAAAGAAGTATCGGGTATGAGGCCACCATACCCGGAAGTCAGACTGCAACACGAAAAAAGAAGACAGACAAATTACAGTTAAGTACAAATAAACAGAAAACATAATGTTAGACTTAGAGTTTGTGTTTATGTCTCTACAGATAACAGGAACTGATTTCTAAATAAAATGTGGTCATGTTTTGCGTGTATGAAATGGGAAACGGCTAGCCAAGCCCCGAGTGTGCACCCTCATGTGCCAGCTAGCCGACGGGAAAGTGGATGCATGAACGTGTGTAACTAAAGTTGGATAATGTGTGACGTGTACTGTATTGTCTGCGGACGGTGACAGAGATCCCTCTGTCACAATACAACAAGGAGATTGGATAGACCTGGGACCTGAAGCTGAGTTGTTTGAGGTTTCAGTAGGTTTCTTTGGACACGAGGGGACAATAACAAGAGTAAAATATCTTATTGTCTCCCGGTGGCTGAACTGCAGGCATGACACCAGTTTGACAGAGGGCTGAGAGGGCTGTGACAGGAGCTTCAGGGAACAGAAGAGAAGAAACCTGGGCTAAAGGCACAGAGATGTTGATTTTGGGGCAGATCGAATACTGGGGACTTGGGTAGAGCAGAGAGCTGAAATTATATAGCATAGAGGAAGAGGGCAGAGCTGGGGCCTGAGACTTGGCCTGTTTAGGGTTTGGAAAAAGGGGTGGATAATTAGACAAACAAGTAGAGAAAACGATAGCAGGCCCACTGGAAAAGTGTGCAAAGCTACCACGAGTAGCCCAGATGTCGGCAGAAAGTAATTGTTTTCAGCGACTCCCTCTGAATTAGGAAAGGTTAGAAGATAGAACTAGATCTAGAACCTGAGAAGAATTTGTTGAGTTGAGTGAACTACTGCAGTTTGTCAGCATGGAAAACTCTTAGCTTTTCTGTGACAAATTCAATATAATCTCCCCCTCCCCATCAGTAACATCTGTTCCAAGCTTCCTTTTCGGATAGAAGTGAAACCAAATGGTAGAAGTACAGTGTAATATACTGTTATAAAGCCCACGTCAGTAGTGGTGTTATATAGCTTCACTGCCAACAACCTTCAGCATCGTGAACCCGGACAGTAAAAAACTTCCATATGAAGATTCCTTTTACCCACGGTGTCAAGCCAGCTAGATGTGTTCCTGTTGCTGTGAGAGATCAGTACTGAAGTCATCATTCAACAGGATCACAAGGTGTCAGCGAGGAATATTCTTGTCTAGAGCAGTGGACAAAGAATTAAAAAACTCTCAGAATTCTGACACTTTCAGATGACGATGAATGCACCCCTCGTGGGGAAATCAAAGACAATATTCAGTTTCTCATAGGGTCAGTATGTACTGTATGAGGGTCAAGTACATTGTGTGGAAAAAAATTTAATGGACCGTTTTAATGGTTAGAAGCTGATTAATACTTTGGGCTAGTACAAAGCTTCATGTGCACAACAAAGTTTGCAAATCCTTGAATGTGTGCAGACCAACATTATTTAAAACCTCTTCTACAAGGTGAATCTCTTTGCTTCTCCAATATTTGAGAAAGAGAAAGGAGAACTACTGTACTTGTAAGGAGTTTCTAATTATGGAAAATGGGAAGTATATGTCATGTGTTCTGTGATTTTTGTGAATCTTTCCACTTACCACCAAGTTATAATTAAGTATGGGGCCAGTATGTAATGTCTAAGGAGAACACCACTGAAAAAACAGTTTAAGTCTCCATTGAGAGACATTTCAAATAAATGGCAAGTAACAAAGAGTTTAAAAATTAAAACAAACAGTGCAGTGATAACAAAACAACAGAGTGGAAATAAAATGTTGTTCCCCACAGATTTTTCAGTCTTCAGAATGGAGAAATCAGTATAAATTTTCCATATTAAATTACACATTTTATTTTGGCATTTGTCCCAAAAAATAAATCCGTCTGAATAATTAAAATATTTCCAGTAAGTCAGTATATTCATTTTTACAATGGGGACATGAGCATGAAGAGAATCCAGAAAATGTGTCCATGTACAGTATTTAGCATCTTTAAGTCAGCTTCTGTTTATTTTGTTTTTATCAAAGTTATTTACCGTGATGAGGGAGACTAGATCTCAGTAGATCAGCAGAGCAATCAGAGGTAAACCAGTTTTCTCCATTGCAAAATTTAACTGCTGTAAATGTGACCCCTTATTTTATACCCTGACTGAGCAATGAAACTTTTAAATAATGTCTGGCAGTGAGGCAGAGAATGGGAGACATTGTCTACATAAAATAATACAGCATCAGTGTGGAGTGAGTTGCATTGATGAGTACTTGGTAATAAGATCACTTTATTAGCCATATAGTTTCTTGCATTAGGAATTCATCTTTTCACATACCCCAGCTTGCTCTCCATAAGAGACACAGACAGGGAGAGAAGTCAGAGCACAGGGTCAGCCTTTGTACAGCACCCCTGGAGCAGTTAGGGTTAAGGGCCTTGCTCAGGGGCCCAATGGAATAGGATTCCTCTGCCAGCTGTGGGATTTGAACCGGCAGCCTTCCAGCCAAAGGCATAGATCCTTAGCCACAGTGTTACCGCTCCGCTTCTGTGTCTCTAGAATGGACATAGAAGTACACATACTTAATTGACAAACAGCTTCAACCAGTGTTGAGGACAAGGCAAACTGCAAAGGAGAAGGGGGGTTTACCTGGTCAATATTTCTGCAATAACACGCTAAGAAGGAAACTTTTGATGCCTGTTACCATTGCTCAGGAGTTGTATAAAGTTTCAGGTGTATTAGTTAATCCAGATTTCATGCCTATATAATCTAGAATTTGCCATAAAAATTCCGTCTTGACCTGGCATTGGAATTTCACGCAAGTTTTAAGTATACTCACTTGCTATCCTCGCTACCATTGACGCCAGACCTGAAGTACGCTTGCAAATGGATTTAAGGGAACAAAATTCCCAAGTTTCCACAAGGAAAATAAGCAAGAAACCAAATCCATTTTGTTAAAAGCCTTTGAAGTTGCTTAAGTATGAAAGGAACTAAAACCCACCCAATTAAACAGGTACATGGATCAGCATTAAAATATCTATTTCTACCTGCCTTTAAAAATAACAAGAACTGCACTTTTTCAGAGAAATGGAGGCAATGGAAGCCAGACATACCAAAAATAAGGTAAAATAGTGATGAGTTACTGCTTTATTAAGATTGTGGACTAACATGAATGGGATTATGTGCTGCTGAAGAGTCCAGTTCAACAGCTGTAAAATACAGACATGTTTACTCCCTGGTGAGTAAAGTCTACAATTTGACATGAAAGGGAACAATTGCTTTACCGTTGTGATACCCTTTATTATAGTTAACGTGTTAGCTGCCAGTATGTGAGGTAACTATTTACACTAGACTGGTGGGTTCATAACTGTCAGTAAACAAGACTGGTATATATCTGGGAGAATTATCTGGTATAAAACAGAATTTTATTATATTGAATAGTAAAGTACAAACGTATATATAAAATATAGTACATTTAAAAATGTAAATATAAAAATGTATTAGTATACTGTATAACAAAGAATTTCTGAGTGGCGTGATCGTCATCCCTCCTCTAGAGGGCACTCTGACCCCTTTTGTATTTTAGCTTCATTATCATGTTCACCAGCCCCTTGTTCCTCGTATATTATTTAAACCTCATGCCTCTGAAGCTCAGGGCTCTCCACTGGAAGACGGACGCCCGGAGGCCCGCCTAGCATCAAGTAGCCCTACGTCTGCGGTTTGAAGGCAGAGGCTTCCAAACGGCGTCCTGACCATGCTGAGTCCGGGGCTCGGAGCCCCTGGCCTCGTCACTTTGTTCCTAGTTCCATGTCCCTGTTCCTGTTTCTAATCATCTTGTCTTGGATGGATCACCTGGTTTTGGACTTTGGACTGCGCCCTGATTTCCCCCTTTGGACTATTTTTGGACTTGTTTTCCTGCACTCCCTCCTGGATCACTGTCGGCACCGCCCCCTGTTCACCATCCCTTCCATTCCTGACTGTTTTCCCTGTAGCCCTTCTCCAGTCACTTCCGGATTATACCGTCTGCACAGGGTTCTAAACTACGCACTGCAGTGGAGTCAGGACTGGCTCCCGTTACAATTAGTTTTTATTTATGTCATGGATGCCGGGAATACCCGAGGAAAGCCACGTATTCTTTTGCAGGTGACGGGAAGGCAAAACGCTGAAGGGCCCGCTCACAGACACGGATGTCGTGAGTGGCATCCCGCGATTAGAATAGGAGAACTGAAAAAAAAAGGCCAGAAGCGATCCGGGAAAACAAAAAGCGCAGCTTGCGGGGTCAAAGAATGGCTCGGTATTCTGTCATGGATGTTGGAAAGGCATGCCGTGGAATTCCCAGGAGAGCAATAAAGACCCTATGTGTAGCGGCAAAAACAGGGGTTAGCCCGGGCTCAGGCGGTCAGACGATGTCGGGTAGAAACCCATGCCCTCAGGCCGCGGAGGAGACGACCTGGTGCTAGTCGGGTCTCAAGACATCCGATCCCTCAATGCTGAGTGAAGAGGAAAGGGTGACCCGGAAATATATAACCCCACACAAAGACACACCGGAAGGACAAGCAAAGCGCAGGAAAACTAGGAACAGGACGGAGTAGGAGCACCCTCTTCCTGTAGAGGGTGTGACAATTTATTTTAATTTGTCATAGAACAATTAAGGGTCAAGCATATTCAGTATTCTCCTATTGCCTTTGACATTTGATGTAATAGTATAATCATGTAAAAACCACTATGAATGTTCACATAGAAAAAACTACAGTTGATTTAAGAACTGAAACACAACTTACAGTACAGCAATACAAATAATTTTAAACTCTAATAATAGTTGATAATGGTTAGCCACAATAATTTAGTCATACCTTACTAAAATGTTTAAAGCATGGTACCTTTGAATAAGACTAAGATCGACTTGTTGATAACAGCTTAAACATTTCTGGATTTGTAGAAAAAAAAGACAATGAGTTATAATTACTCTCGGGAGTTTCTGAAATGTAGTGTAAATTCACAGGTTCCCATATCTGCTATGTTAACGTGGAGCACTGGGGCTGGTCCCAGAATGTAAGGTGTAGGAGTGCGAGGTTGTGTGATCATCTGAATCATGATTTCAGTTTACTTCATTAGAAAATCTTTGTGTATGTAAAAATACTTTGGGCGCTGTACAGCATATCCTCTGAAATTGATAAATACTCCAGTCCCATACATCCCCATAAAAGTCATCAATTGAATTTCATTGCCATGGAAGAAAGCACAATAGCTCACTCTAGATCAGCTTTAGACTGTCAGTCTACATCTGTTTGACTGACCAGCATGTTGTCCAAACTATAACCAAAACTATTAGCCAGAGGGCAGGATTGTGTTGAGCTTCGATTATGTAAATATTCTCAGATGTCTAAAACAGCTGTCATTTATTCCAAAAGTGGTCCCTGACTGATATATTCAATTTTCTTTGGTTTGGAAAAGGAGTTTGCCTTGCCTATTGCTTTTCATCTGCAATATCCTGTTGCATAATGTCCCTAGTTTGTGTAGGGGACTGCTGATAAACTGTAGGGTATATTTTTGGATTGAATTGTTTGCCGAGAACAAATGTGAAAATAAAAAATAATTCAGAATTATAGGATGCTGTATGTTAAACTAATGAAGAAACAGAACAGAGCAATATTGCCTGTTGAAACTGAACATTTATTCAACAGAGGAAAGGCATTCTCAACATGCTCAACATCTGAAAGATTACAACTCAGGAAATTACAAGGAATCTTTTCACTTCATTTTCAGATTTCATTTGATGATTAGTCTACATTTCTATAGCCCTCAATGCCACGTGTTACTAACAGGAGTATACTCTGGGTTTCAGCCTTTCCCTAATTCTTGCTTTGCCTCTCAGATATTATAGATCTCATCTGTTTCTGAACTGGCCCCACCACCTGTTCTTGCGTCATGTAAATAATAGGTAATTTCCTTGTGTCCCTGCCCCAGAACAGTTCTTCCAGCCAGGCCTGTTGCCATTTCTTAAACTTTTAAACGTTTTAAGTGATATTTTAAATGTTTGTCTTATACTTTTCTGTTGTACGATTTATAACTGGGCCCCTGTATGGTTGTGATCTTAATTATGATTTAATCCTCAAGTGGGAAAATACAGTTTAAGTCAAAGTAGTACTTTTATCAGACTGAACCTCTCAATAGTGACTACTGACTTTTAACCTAATATTCATTTGTATGATTTTTTTGTTTTGTTTTCTTCCTGACACTCTGACTTGCCAACACTTCTTCATCTTTTTATGTAATTCACTTGGCATGGATTGCATGTTTGTTCCTTTCAGTGTCTTCTTAGTTACATGGGTGCAAGCATCTTGACGAGGTCAAAACTGGAAATGAGAATTGATTAGATATTATTTCCTTTATTGTTATCTTAGAAAAGAAGAATTGTATCAAACTGTTTATGGGGAAAAATAGGTCATTGTAAACTGTACCACAGGTTTTAAATATAAGTATCAGCTAAATAAATCGCAGATAAGTGGTATAATTCCATTAAAACCTAGGATATATTAATGAAGTTATATTCCTTAATTATTGTAATTTGGACATGGCTTCACCTTTTAACAATGTGCCTAGCGTCAGAACATAAGAAAGGTATTCAGTCCATCTAGCCCATTTGATAGCAGCTAATGGATCTGAGTATCTCAGTCCGCAATTTCTTGAAAAAAGCCAGCATATCAGCTTCAGTAACATTGCTGTGTACAGTATCTTGTTCCATATGTCCGCTACCCTTTGTGTAAAGTGGCTTGTTTTAAATGCACTTCCTCAAAATTTCCACTTGTGTCCTCTATTTGTATTCCACTGGGCTGACTTTGTCAGTGCCTTTGAGGATTTAAAATACTCATGTTCCCCTCATAGTCTTCTCTGTTCAAGGCTAAAACCGTTCAGTACTGTAAAACTGTAAAATTCCCTTAGGTAGTAAAGACATATATCAAGCGTGAGAGGAGTAAACATGCATAATTAATGATTTCCATTATGTTCTTTTGTAAATATCCTTTTGAGTGTAATTTTCTTTAAAACATATTTTTAAAACAAATGGTTGTTTAAATCATCTTTATCAGCTTGAACATGTTCTCTGTCTCTTTAAAACGTCACAGGAAGACAGAGCAGACAGGAAGGCGGTGAGGGGACCACAGAGGAGCCGGAGAAAGCGAAGGGGTGATGCAGCTCTGCTCAAGCAGGGTGAGTGGAAAGTGTCTCAAAAACCCCATTTTATTTGTCATTCAAGCTAGAAAGTACATTAACATTAGTTAGTTTACTCTGTCATACATGCTGCTTTTAGTCAGTTTGAAGTCAGTTGAACCAAATACAAAGTGTTGCTAAAATGTGACTATATCTAATTGATATTTAAGTTGAATAAGAGTCTATGACTATGTCAGAAACTGATGACTTAACACTGCTTAAAAACATAAGGCAGCAAGTGAATTATTATCTTGCATAATTAAAATAACCATTTAAAAGAACCGTTTTAATTATCCTCTAATTCAGTGCTAGTTGTCTTCACCCCTTTCTCTCCCCATAGAGCAGATTAAATATTTAAGTTTGGTAGAGAAGCTCAAACGCTCATGACTTTTATGTGTCAAGTTTTAATATTAGTGCAATATTAAGCTCCTGTTATGTTATAATAAAATATATCTGTTTCAAGTCATATCACTGTACCACTGCTGTGGAGTTAAGGGTTGCTGTGTTTTTTAGCTGTACCATATGGAGGAAAGAAGAAGTCGTGGAGCTGGGCTTCCTACCTGGAGCAGGAGAAGGCCATTGCTGCCCCTAGCAAACTATTTAAAGAGGTAAAAATAGATAATAAGAATGAATGTTTATTTCACTGTATCCTGGAATTATTGCATTATAGCCACATAATGCTGTCCTGTGCTAATGTTACTGCATGGACCGCTGAACTTGTGAGCTACTGCTTTTGATTTAATAACTTCAGATTCTTTTATACATTTTTCAAATTCCGCTTTAGATAATATATCCATGTTACTTTGAAAAAGTCTCATTCCATTCTGTGTTTTTTTTTTACCAGTCACACCATTAAGAAATCGGGACTTGCAAACAGAGGTCACACAAAATTGAGGTTATGCCTATGCCCTTAATTTCCTGAAAAAGAAGAGTAGCCACAAACGAACATGATATTGCTACCCTCCTGGGCTGTATGAGCACGTATTTATACTGTACCAGTGCGACCAATATGCCTGTCTGAGAGTGAAACCCTGTCTACACTTTCTCCTCTGAGAGTATATATATACAATACAGTCTCTATCCTCTCAAACACAAAGAGAGAGACTTGTAGGAAGGCTTGTAACAAGAGATATGATCCAGTCATGAGAAAGCGATTCCTTCTTTGCCTAGGAAACTGGAAAAGACTCAGAAATATGGTCAGTAGAAAGAAAGAAAAAATTCAACAGGGGTAGGAATTTTAAAATTAGGTGACATAGAGTAGAAACTCTTTAGAAAGTGTACTATTCTGTTTAATGTCAGAGAGTGGTGAAAGGCAGATATCAAGACAATAAATCAGTGTTCTTTTGTTTTAATTTCAGCACCAGTCTTTCCCCCATAGTAAAAATGGATTCAAAGTGGGAATGAAACTGGAAGGTGTGGACCCTGAGCACCCTTCAGTGTACTGTGTTTTAACTGTTGCCGAGGTAACCACACATCTGCATTCCATCAGCAAGCTAAAAATAATGCCCATACTTGACCTTTGTCATAAAATACCTTTTATGTAATACAATTAACACATTTACATTTACACGTACCGTAAACATTTAGTTATTTAAAGTTGTTTAAAACGCTTTTTTGATTTAAATGGTTTCAAGAAAAAAGCTAGATATTACAAACAAAATTCAGTGCCCAGCGATTTGTATGTTTTATGGATGATACCTCAATTTACCTGAAATTTCTTCTTGAAGCTGCTATCCCTTGAAACAGAGTATCCAATACTTTACTTCTCAAAATAATGATTCTTGCTCAAAAGGTAAAATAAAACAAAAGCAGCACGTGCAAATCTAGGATATGACAGTATTGACTGATAGGCAGTCAGTTGCTGGTTCTTTTAAAGTGGAGCATAAGCAGTATATAAAGCAAATTTAAATATACCGTACATGAGAAAAGACTAAATATGAATACAAATTGTCATGCAGAAATATCAGAAAGATGTCTAAAGGATAAAGGTTTGTATGTGTTGCTGAAACCAAACATAGGCTCAGACTAAAGTAAAAGACTGAATTCAGAAAGGTGGACAGTCTTTGAAGTGGACGTTTTAGCCTCACCATCCACCTGCTCTCAAAATGTCTTAAGACAGGGTTAGGGTTAGGGTTAGGGTTAGGCCTTAAGACAGGAGGGTGAAAAGCTGTATTTGCACAAATACAAATACAGCTAATATTTTTGGATGAATGCCTGAGGAAATTATAGATGTAATTGTGTACAAAGCAGGATTGATTTTGGGAGTTTGTGCCATGAATTGTGATCAAATACACACCAAATATGTTTTGAGAAAGTTATTCATTTTATTCGTTTTGTTGACATTGTTTCCAAGGTACAGTAACCCACAGAGGTTAGAATTACATGAGTTTAACCTATAGATATTTTTATTGATTTATACAGCTCTGCTTGCTAAAGACATTTGGGTAATTGCATAAGAATACAAAATCAGTATCCTAATCTGGATTATAAGAAATAATATACATTTTATAGTGTTCAGTTTATGGGAAATGTGCAAAATTGCAGTAGGATTATAAAAGTTTTTATTGTTGAAATAGGATATGCAAATATATCTAACACAAAACAAAATAATTCTAACGTCTTTTCCCTGGTTATTGTAATCATTTGCATTTGTTTTTAGTACATCAAAATTAATAAAATGACTTTGTTGCACTTTCATATTTGTCTTAGGTATCAGGCTACAGAATTAGGCTGCACTTTGACAAATATTCAGATTGCTATGACTTCTGGATAAATGCAAACTCCTCTGACATTCATCCAGTTGGATGGTGTGAAAAAACTGGACACAAACTTTATCCTCCAAAAGGTAGGAATTTCAGTAATGAAACATTTAAGACTAAGTTCCACCTTCGTCTGAATCTAAATGCTTTTGTATTTCATTCCTAAATCTAATTGCTTATGTATTTTTAATTGTATCATTCTGGGTATCACTCATGTCATACTGTAGGAAGAGAAAAAAGTTATGTTATAGTTCAAGAACATTAAAAACAGAAAAAAAGAATCCCTCTTTCAAGATTCAGAATTGATCCTTAAAAGAGGAGATTGTACCAGACTGGCATAATTTCAACTGCTGTTTTGTAATATAAAATGACTTTAAAACAGAACATATTAGTAAAATATACAGTGCCCTCCAGAATTATTGGCACCCTTGGCAAAGAGGAGCAAAATCGGCTATGAAAAAATGTCTTTGTTGTTTATCAGCTTGATCTTACACTGAAAATATGAGAGAAATCTAACCTTTCAGTGAGGTAAAATTATTCAGTGAAAAAAAATCCTTATAAAAAATAAACATTTTTTTCTCAAAAACACGTGTTTTTGTAGACATTTTCTTGATACGGGCACTTTAAACTGTATCACTGAAGGTAACAGGGGTTATCAATGATCAGCTAAGCCTTTCTTTGAAATGCAGTATAATACAGCTCTTTAAGTGTTTCTGTGGTCGATCAGCTATTTTACTAGCAGGATTAACAATTCTGCCCAATTTCCCCTTGCTCTTAATACTCAGGATACCACACAACACTGTGATACCAAAAGAAAGGATGTTTTCTATGAAACTTCTATAACTTCAATCCAAAACTTTTTGATTTAACCTATTTGTCTATTTTTCTCTTGTACAATATGATATTGACAAATTCTAATGTACAGTATAGCCATGTACTGTATAGTGTATGTATTGGGAAGTTGTTATAATGACTAATGATTACAATAAGGTAACTATGAAGATGGCAGTAACTGAGAAATTAGGAGAATCCCCATATACACTGAAATCAAGAAGTAAAATACTTGCATACTGTAGGTTAGATATAGCAGTTAGTAGCTTTGGTAATATGGGTAGTAACCTAGTATCAAGTGTAAGAGGATGGTAAATTAGAACTATTGTACCAGCAGGTGCTGAGATCTTTTTGTGTTTAAAATGATTTTAAAATAACAAAATTAAAATAATGTCACATTCTACACAGGGATTATATTTAGAACGGCATCTAAGAAACTCAACCACCATCCCACCCAGAGTTATGAAATTTTTCAACTTAACCGTATCCAGCGGTGTTAACCTACTGTGTATCAACATTAAAATAATCATATTTTAATGTGCCATAGTGTACTTAGGCAAAATAAATCAATTTTCTGATAAATAATAATAATTTCACTAATTAAACTATTAAACAGCTATGTAAAATTGAGTAGAGATCTAAAAGAGATCTTAGACTTATGGGGAGCATGTTGTATTTTCGAGGAAAATGGCACAGCCAGCCATGATCAAGTTAACGTCCACAGCAGCAGCACAGATGCAAGAGCAAACAGTGGCATGAGATACAGTAGCATAAAGCAGATATTTTACAAACCCCACAGTCGACAATCTCAGCTAGCCTGGGCTATCCACTCCTGGGCAGGGGCACAGAGCAGACTGGGAAGAAGTCTGGGAATTCAGAAGATGAGGCAGTGAAAAGAAAGGTTAAGTTTTGAGCGATATACAGTATGAGCTATTTCAGAGCTTGTAAGAGCCAGAGTGAAGAAGTAATCACTTCCAAAAGAACTGGGAAAAATAATAAAGATAATAGTTAAAGTACTGTACTGATGAGGAGCTACTAAAAGAAATGAGTAAAGAAAAAATGGTGGTCGAGAAATGGCAGGGTTTGTCAGTACGCACTTGCAGCTAGAGATTAATGCAATATACAGGAAACTGAAAGGCATTGAAGACACAACAGATACCGATTTGCTGCATTGATAAAGACTTTCAGAATATGAAGTCCCTTGAAAAACGTGAAACACAGTTGCATAACAGATGGGTTTTTGATTCCTTTTAATGTCTGAATCAGAGATGTAACACGGTTCTTTCTCGCCCATTAACAGGCATGAAAGAGGAGGAGTTCAGCTGGCAGGCCTACGTCAAATTGTGCAAGGCTCAAGCAGCCCCCAAGGCCCTGTTTGAAAACCAAAACACAGTAAGTGTCACCAGAACACACAAGCTTGTGAACACACAGATTGTGAATGTACAGATGCAGCTGTTAGGATGCCTGTCAAAATTGACACCAGTGGAAAGCACACTGCAGTGTACGACTGTCTGGTCTGGCATGCTTCTTTCAGTGCTTCACTGGTCAAAGCAGATCTATAGGTGGCACTTGTGTTGATTTAGATGTTACTAAATTGGTAGCTTAATTTAATTTTTTTCTTAGTCTTATACTCATATTTCTTGAAAATATAATTTATGTTATATAAACATATAAATTGCATAGCCAAGCTATTATAAAATGAAATGTAGCAGTACCATTTTTTTAAAAAGGGTATTACATGTCAGGAATGGAGCCTAGATCCATTATATTGAAAGCTCCCACATCAGACCACAATGTATGGCTGTGTACAATGTACAATGTACAGTACTATATCATTCGTGTGCTGAAAATCCATTTCTTTAAATCCACTTAATATGGAATCATGTTATCAAAGGGAAATGTTGGTAGCTGGAAATAAAAATAACTGACATATAACATTTCTGAGTGTTATTAACTGTTTTAGTTTGCAAATATAAATATAATATATTTATGTAGCTGTTAGTGGTAGCTGAATATAAAAAATAAGGTAAAATACAGTATTCTATCTTCTTTTTAAATACTTTCTGCATTAAATTCTTTATCTCTTTCACTTGCTGTCGTTATTTTTGGAAAGTTTTGATATTTGATTCTTGTTTTCTTTACATTTCCCATGAACACTTGCAAGGTTCAAATTAAAAACAACAAACATTAAGTCATATACAGTAAGTACTTAAACTGTCAAGGTGGCTCAGGACACAAGTGCAGCTCTTGGAGAACTATGTTAGAAAAGTCAATTAAAGTAATCAATTGTATTCAATATATTCTGAAATTAATGGAAACACCAATAAGTGTGGATAAATTCTTTATAAAAACGTCTGCTTGCTGATCCTGTTGTTCACTCTTTTTATTTCACATTATCTGGCTAATTTGAGTATTGTGTACTGTACTGATTGGTTACTAGAACTGTACTGACTAGTAACAAACTTGACAACAAAAACTGTTTTCTTTCATGATAATAGCAAATGAAACTTCATTTTCTCATTAAGCTGCACCAATAGATTTTTCTATATGTTTGAAACTGTTATCATAAAACAAAAATCTTTATGAAAAAATATTGTCTACTATTTTTAACTGTTCACAAATGCTGGAAATGTTGCCAGCATTTGGCAAAAAGCTAGTGTCCTTATCATATAAATGAACCTTGAAACCAGTTGTTTTAATGGACTGTTTTCTTTTGGAATTATCCCCTTCCGTGTAATGGAGAGTGAAACTTCAGATCAAATAAACCCATCACTAAGCAACGCTTGTAGTTTTTAACTTAGCTTGTGGCACTTAATTCATTTAAGAGTCTTCGTTTCCTACTGTCCCACACTTTCAGCAAAATCAGAATCACTGGAATAATGTGTAATGTATGTGGGAAGAATGTTTTTATTTTAGTTCCCAGCATTTCCTTTCGGTTTAATTCTGAATTCTCAATCCCATGTGCTGTTAAATACAAGTACTATGCAGTACTATGTGCTTTTTTTGCCACTGCTACTTGCACCTACAATCCATGTGCCCTGTTGAAAGTAAAATACTCTCTTTGAAAATGCATTACTCTGTTTGCTACAGCAAAAACTTGTGTGGCGTCCTGGAACTGTTTTGGGATTTTGAGGGTTGCATTCTTGTATTTCATTACATTCATGTCTGTGCAGTCCGACATAAAAATAATGTGAGTTTCTTCTCCCTTCAGATCACACATTTCCTGCTGTTTGATGTGTAATTCCAAATTCAAATTCATTTGATATAAGGATGGGTTGAAAGTAAATACAGTATATGAAATACGAAGTTAATTAGACTCGGTACACATTTAACCATAGTGCATTGAATTTTGTATGGGTGGATTACACAAAAAGGAGAACTTACAGTCGCTGCTGAAATGTACCAACATAAATATGTGTCCAGTACAGTCTTCTGTTTATGTTCTCCCAATTCCACCAGAAACTCCTTTTCAGTTGGTTTTTACATTCAAAAAATCAATTGGACTGGCTTGACTTATTACGCTTGTGCAAGCTTAGTGTTGGGTTCCTCCAGAAATCAGACACAACGATGAGAGACAAGTTCACTGCTTTTGAGGTTATTGTCTTTTTATATGATATTTCTGCTTTCATAAATCACATCATAAAGCTCATGTACAAAGTACATACAGTAATAATTTCTAACCATGTAAACATAACTAATGCTGTTCTACACATACAGTTATATGACCAATAAATGAGATGTCATTGTACTGTATATAACTGAATTGTTTTAAGACTAGATTAATTCCTGAGAAAATGTCATGAACAGCTGAAATTTCTCATTTTCTTGATTAGTGACATATACTGTACAGTACTATACAGTATCTGTCAGATTTGTTAGCAAGTGTTACAGTCAAAAAGATTTGTAGGTGTTTTTAGTAGTTTGCATCTGTGGCCTTGACATATATTTCAACATGGCAATAATAAGCACCTTTTTTGCATTCCAGACAGTAACTCCATCAGGTTTTCGAATAGGAATGAAACTAGAAGCTGTTGACAGGAAAAATCCCACTTTCATCTGCGTTGCTACAGTAACCGACATGGTGGACAGTAGGTTCCTGGTGCACTTTGATAACTGGGATGAGAGCTACGACTACTGGTAAAGCTTTGTTTTGTGTTCCTGCCTTTCAGTTTGGTATGATTTGTTTATGTTAAGGAAAGAACAGTTCCTTTAAATGATAACAGGTGTTTATTTTCTAGATAATTTACATTTGTGACCTGAACTGGACAATTTACTGCTCTCAAATGTATTTTTTTATCAAATGTCTGTGTTTTCCAAGGAGATGAAGAAACTAGAGAGGGGGTCTTGCATGTGTCAGCAGGCGCAACACCAGTGCTCTTCAGCTAGATGTTTTGTCTTGCGGTGTGTGTATTCGGGTTTGCATCTGCATTCACGGCCTTTTACAGAGTATGGGCAGAGATAATCAAAAACAAAAAGTAATTATTAGATTTTCAGGAACACGTTGTGATACTTGGTCCTGTTAATAAAATGAAAAAACTCAGAAACACCAGGATGGGCAAGAGCCACGATGTGAACTACTTCTCCATGAGAAGAAGATCCAGGTTATTGTACTACAGACTCAATTTGTGTGATTATAATATGATTTTCTAACATATCTGTCTTAGAGTGTTCTTTGATATTCTAATAAGCAAAACGTATGCTCATACAGTAACAGGGTGTACTAAGGTTAAAGTTTTTAAGGGTTAACAGACATTGTGTTTAGAGTTTTTAGACACCAATTAACTGAAAATATCTTAATATGGTAACTGAAAATAAATTAAAGTAGTATACATTGTGTTTTAGCTGTATATTATGAAATATGATATTATTTACTTTGTACAGTTCGACACACTTTGATTTTGTGTCAGCATGCGAAGGCTGCAAAGGAACAAGTAAAGGTTTAGAAAGAAAGAAACAAGTGGCCAGGGAGGAAGAGAAGGAATGACGAAGAGATCTAGAAAAAGACTGATCTGGCACAGTTGCCCACCTGAACTACTACAGCCTACACCTGCTACGACCCACTATGCCTCCAAATCTTTTTCTAGATCTCTTCATCATTCCTTCTCTTCCTCCCTGGGCCA